AAATCCATATTACAGGTTGTGGTAGGCTGAATAACAGCCTCCCCAAAATGTCAGTGTTCTAATCCCAGGAACCTCTGAACTAGTATTTTACCTTATGCAGCAAAAAGGGCTTTGCAGATGTAATTAAGATTAAGGACCTTGAGATGGGGAGATAATTCTGAATCCTCCTGGGTGGGTCTAATGTGATCACAAGGGTCCCTAACAGGAGGCAGAAGGTCAGATCTGGAAAAGGTTCTACGCTGCTGACTTTGAAGACAGAGCTTAGGAAGGCAGGCAACCAACAGAAACTAGAAAAGCTTAGGAAATCTAACCCTATAGACCCCATTTTAGATCTCTGACCTCCAGAAGTATAAGATAATAAATTTGTGTTGTGTCAGCCACTAAAATTTGCAGCAATTTCTTAGAGCAGCAGTTGGAAACTAATACACTGGTTTGTTGTTATAAACACTTTTTACCCTGTGTAATAGTAGGTATATTCCTGTCCTTTACCTATGAGTTTCTGGATTTAATCATTCTTAGGTCCCAGAACCAATTTTGATTCTTCTGAAATTGATGGATGGTACTGTTTCTTTTATTACGACTAGTATTCATTGGACTGACAAGAAAAAAAGAAATTAAGTAGGCGATGCTGGGTCCACTTAGGAGCAGGGGAGGGAAAGGCAGTAACAAATGATGGGCTAGATTCCAGGGAACTCTGTCCTTTCCAGCGACTCACCCCCGTATAACCTGGGGCAAGGCCTGTCACTGCCCTAGCCTCAGTTTCCCCATCTATGAAGGGAGGATTGAAAACATTCAATGGGTCTCAACCTTCTTCTTAGTTGAAAATGACTTTGAAAGCTATGGACTTTCTCCCCAGAAATAAAAAGTATGTATACACATGCATATAAGCTTTGATCCTCAGATTTTAGATGTCTCCCTAGTTAAGGATCTGTGAAACCCAGCTTAGGAACCCATAGGCTTGATACACTGTACATTCAAGATACCTGGGACTGTTGAAAAAGAATAATCAAATAGTATTTTTGGCTCCTACAGCTGCTCCATTTCTTGTGTTTAATGCTAAAATAAAATAGTAATTAGAACAAGCTGCATTCCTGTATTAAAACCTCATACCCCTCTCTTGCTGCACTGGAGTACTTTCCATGTACTGAAGAAATTATGTGACCCACAGGCTGGGAGAGATCTTCCTGGTCATAGGGCCCAATTCCCTTATATTGCCTGGTTCTCTGAGTATCATATCTGCCAGGTTGTCACTAGGAAATACACAGCCTTGAAATAGCCCTTTCCATCTCCAAGGAGCACTGACACACCCATTCCACCCATCAAGCAGTAGAGGCTCAGTATCAAGGGCCTAAAAGCTTACAGGGGCCCAGGAAAAGGTTTGGGATTCATAGCACCTTTTAATAGTTCCGAAAATTTTTAAAGAAAACTGCAAAGTAGAAATTATTAACAATTTCAAAAGCAAAGGTATAAAAATCCATTCAGAAGTAGTAAGCAAAAGCTAGATTTTGACATATTCTGAGGCTGTACCTCTAAAGGTAAGGGTGTCCTGGGCCTACTTAATCTAAAATGGCTTGAACTCTGACTAGCACTCTTCCCCTCCCTCAACTCCATCTTGACCTGAAATATGACTCTAGCTTCTGTTCAAGGTGCCTGGTTCCAGACCTTCTTAAATTTAAAGAAAAAGAGTTTAGAACTTACCTTCTTACAAATGACAGTTCATTATTTGCAGACACTCATTAGGAGAAGTTCTCCCAGGTTACTATAACATATGCTTCAAATTCACCCATCTGGTCAATTCTGAATCTTTTCCAGGTTGGCAATGTAGCTATTGGCTGTGGTTTTTGTTTGAAGGTAATGATATGATGATGATGGTGGTTATGATGCGATTTTATTCATATTGTGATAAACTGTGTCCTGTGGACCTTAGTCTGGAGGAACCACCTGACTAATTTTACAGTTTGCAGAAGAAGCAGTTTCTATTTCAGAGGGCTGGAAGAGTTCTTCCAAGACCAAGCAGAGAAAAGATAAGAATCTAATTGCCTTGCTGAAGGCCAGACTCATTCTTAAGATTAAAACCATTTATCTTCTCATTTCTATTTGACATAAATGAACTAAATGAGCTAAAAAAAGGAAAATGAAAGAATGCAATGACAATAACTGGAATAAAAGTAAACCAAAAGAAAAAGAAACATAGAACTTAGACATCATTTTAAATGATAGATGTAAGATAAGAAAAATGGGTAATTTAAAAAATATGATAAAAGGTATGAAAAATTAAGGAAATTTTTATTAAACTTAAAATTTAAATTAAAAACAGTATTCAGAATTAATTGAGTACTATCAAAGAGCTGAAATCAAAAGAGCTAAGAAACCAAAATAATACAAAAGAATTCAGACAATTTAGAAGTCCTGAACATTAAGGAGTAATAAATAATGAGCTATACATATAATTGTAAAATGAGAGCATTAATGGAAGGTAGACAAATACAAAAGAAAAAAATGTAATGACCAATAAACATATTTTTTAAAAACCTTTCACCTCCTTAATAATAAAACAATTCAAAATAAAATAATACCAAAACAAGTTTTTAGAAATTAAGTTGGAAAATACAAAAGTAAAAGATACCTTCCTGTGTTGGCCAGAGTTGGGATGGGGAGGCAAATGCTATATTGCTCACAGAGAAAACTGGAATGACCCTTTGGTGGGGTGATTTGAAAATCTATATTAAAAGCCTTGCATCTAAAATATATACTTCTAGGAGTTTTATCTTTAATAAATAATCAAAGATGTGAGAAAAAATCTACTAGGGAAAGTAAGAAATAACCTTGATATCCAAAATATGGGATTTGTTAAATTGATATACAACTGTCAACCAAAGGAATACTATACAGTCATTAAAAGTACTTCAGAAGGATTATAATGGTTTAGAAAGTGACTCACAATATACTGCAAAGTAAAAGAAAAATAGGTTACACAATAATCACACTTTTGTGAGAGGAAAAAATGTATACATTAAGTATATCAAATCTAAGATATTATCAAGTGAACCATTTTTTTACCATAACAGCACCAAAAAAAAAAAATTCTCCCAATTAAATCATAATGAGTCATAGATTGTAAGATGCATCATGACTTCAGAGATGTTAAAATGATGTATCCTAGAATTGATAAAATACTGTATTGTGTCATATTCTTTTTATTGTAAAATAAACAGCCTCCCCCCATATTTTAATACAGTATCTTGGTTTTAGGGAAGCATTTTATGATCAAATACATTTAATGTAGTGTTTCTCCCACTATCACCCCACCTACAAGCCATTGGGATCAAGAAAATATTTTATATGGGTTATATTTGCATAAACCAACTGTAAGGAGTTGTACCTCAATTTTTTTAAATTTAAGAATATGTGTTTAGGAATATGTACATATGTGATAAAACTATTATTCAAAAGGCAAGGGAATAAATAACAAAATTCAGGATACTATTTACCCTTTGGACAAGCAGAGGACAAGATAACAAAAGATAGGGAAAATGCAACCTATTGGAATATTTTAGTTAGATAGGATGCTGGTTTCACAGTTGCTCATTAATGTCATGCATCCTAACATACATAAATACATAATACATGTAATATACTGTTTGAAAGAATTAATTTTCATTTAATGCAGTGCTCAACTAAAATTTTTCCTCATGTTTGTGTTAGGAGGGTAGGGCAGAAAGCCTGGCTTGCAATAACATAGATTAGATCGTGCCTCTTTTATAGGATGAATTTTGTGGGTGTCTCAGTCCTACCTCCCAGACAGGTTTCTCATCCACAGTGGCTGAGTCTCACCAGGAGCCTGAAGTGGGAGGACAGGATGGACAAAGCTTTCTTTTGATGCCTGTCCAGGCTATCTCAGGTATCCCCAAAGAGCAGTCCCTTCATCTTTGCAGTGACAAGTTTGGGTAAATCGCTTCTTTAAAGTATGTCTTTCAGATTTTTTTCCAATCATTTACCTCACTCACCCTAATTTTTAATACTATTGTAATAGTAACACTTTATTAGCATTTTATCTGCAATGTACACTAAAGTTATAGTTATTACTTCAAATGAATGATGAATTATTCCTAGTACAAAAGACTTGTAAACAACCTAAATGTCCAGTCACAAAATGGTAGGAGAGTATGTAGCCATTACACACTATATTTATGAAGACAGCATTATAACAGAAGAATTATTAATTAAAGAATAATTAAAATGAAAAAATAGCATAGTTTACATACTAAGATCCCAGTGTGAAGTACAAACAAAACCTCTATTTTTAAAATAAGCTGGAAAGAAATATGTAACAATAGTAAGAGTTGTTATCTTTGTGTGAAGATATTTTGATAAGTATAGATATATGTACATAACAGTGCAAGAAAATTCTAGAAGGAAACACAGTAAAATCATAACAGGGATAACCTCTGAGGAAAAACAGAGGGAACTGCAACTGGGGGTGGGAAAAGTAAAAGGGGATTCCAACTTCACTCATGACATTCATTTTAATTTTTCAATGTAAAAAAAGTAAAATGGATTCCAGTGTTATTGTGTATATACAATTACTTTTTCAAAGCCTCAGCAATTCTTTTATCCTCTAATACATGTATTATACCCAAGAAAACATGGAGTCTTTGTAAGAAAATGTTTTCTGTGCACCACACCCACCTCTCTACCTCCTTTCCCTCCACCCTCACCACACACTGCACACCCACTCAGCCAAGTTCATGCGTGTTGTAAGAAAGTGCCCCAAAGCCTTGCCTCACCTTTACAACCCTCCTAGAGACCAGAGCAAAGCACCTTGGCAATGACTCTTTGCAGAAAAATCTATGCCAGAAAAGAGCTGTCCAAAGTGCCATTTTGTTAAAAATGATCTCACAGGTTTTTTCTTTCCCTGATGATTTTGAGAGCCAGGTTTTTCAGAGTTTGGCACCAGCCAAACCAACAGGAGAAAAGAAGGCAATGTCCACATTTCATACCTGTCAAAAACCACTGCGGCGTAAGCCCGCTCGGCAAAGATGACATCCGCAGCGCAGAACTCCTTTGGGGCCTTCAAACCCCTGCCTTTGCCCTCAGAAGTAAAGACCTCCACATTCTCCATTCTCCCAATTGTCATCGCAGAGTCTCTCAGGCAGCACGGCAGATATGAGCCAAGTCCCTTGTCCTCGCTGCTATTTCAGCACCTTTGGCATCCCAAAGAGCAAGCCTATAAATGGACAAGCACCTCCCCTTCCCTACCCCCTCGCAGCCACTCGGCCCTCACCTTCCCCTCCACCCCTTCTCCTGGAGGTGCGGATGGGGCAGGCAAGAGGACAGCGCTCTGCTGGGGTCTCAGTCACGACTCAACAAAGCCGACAAAGCAGAAGATGACCATGGGCTGATGTCGCTTCTCAGACTGGGCCTGAAAACTTTTGAAAAGTTCCTTTACAAGAAGGAACTCAGTCCTGGACGGCAGTCATGCTCAGCTTTAGTTGGAATAGGGAGCACTTGGTCACGAGGATATTTTTAGCAGCCAGATGCCTCTGTCAATCCAAAGCAGACAGCTGAAATTGTCCAAAAGAAGCAGTGAGGGGATGCCTGCTGCTCTGGGACCCTTCAGCTGGCAGGCTTGCACTTTCTCAAGTGAAATGGGCCCCTTGTCCCCTTACACCCTCCCCCATGCATTAACTGTTTGCAGAAAGCCAGCAGATGCTAAACATAACAGGACTTTGGCATATACATAACAGTACTATTTAGGTTCCAATGGCTTCCCTCTTTTCCAATATTACCAAGGGCTCCCACAACACCCTACCCAGGGCATGAAGGTCTGGGCGTTCCCTGATGATACAGGCATGCTGGATGCACATCTGTGTATGAGGAGGCAGGCCTTGCAAACAAGAACCCTTATTTCTATCTTTCTATCAAATCTCCCTTAAACATGTGTCTGTTGTCAACAAAATACCAATGTGCTCTGTACTTCCTTCCCCAGGAGTGGGGACCCATGTGGGACAATTCTAAAATTTCCATTAAACCAAATGCCACCCTTCTTGACAGCCAGGCAGCTCTCCCTGAGGTTGAAAAGAAAGACACTTGTAAATCTAGGGCTATGGCTTATCTTCCAGGTAGTATATTTAGTTTCTGGGATGCATCTCTTTACAGGAACCCCATGCTCTGGATCTCTGTGAGTATGGTAGTTTGCAAGCACTGGCTTTTGAGTCAGTTCACATTTGAATTCTGAGCCTACCACCAACACTTTGAGAGGAACCTGCAAAACAAGGGTGATACCTTCTACTTCACTGAATTGTAGAGAGGGTGAAATGAGATGATATTTAGAAAGGAATAGCACAGCATTTGGCACTTCATGAAAAACTTTAAAATGATAGCGTTTGTTTTATTTTATTTATTCTGTTACATTATCTTTCCAAAACAATCAAGATGTGTTAGAAATTCTAATGTGTCTTCAACCAATTGCATCTTCTGAAACTTGACTCTTGAAAACAGATCAAAAATCCTTTGTCAGACCATACATCCTAATATTTTAGGTCATAACACATAGCTGCTAGAGCTAGAAAGGGGGTTATGTATACCGAAGAGCAAACTAACTTGAGATGTTTAAAATTGGGTACCCCCAAAATTCAACATCACATGCTCCCAAGGAGAAAAAGAAGATTTAAAAAGGAATTTTTCCATCTAGGTCAGCCTCAGATGAATGCCTGGACCCACATCACCTGGCAAGTCAGGTCCCTGCAACAACCAGGAGCCAAAGGCTCAGGCTGGTAGGGATTGGGTTGCTCTCTAGACACTGTACCCCTGGAAGAGGTTCAATTCAAGCCAAGGTCAAGGAAGAACTCTACCTGCCCCACCCACATCAGAAAGACAAGGGGGCACGTCAAGCCCGGTACTTTAGTTATATTTATGAATCTCAACTTTCACAAAACAAGCATTATAGTGTTAAAGTGTGGTAGACAGAATAATAGTCCCCCAAAGGTGTCCAAGTCCTACTCCCCAGACCTATAATATGTTACCTTACATGGCAAAAAGGAGTTTGCAAATGTGATTAAGTCAAGGATCTTGAGATGGGGAGATTATCCTGGACTGCCCAGTGGGCCTGATGGAATCACAAGAATCCATGTAAGAAGAAGGCAGGAGGGTCAAGTCAGAGAAAGCGATGAAACAGTGGAACCAAGAGGGTCAGAGTCAGAGAGGCATTTGAGGATGCTATATGGCTGGCTGTGAAGGTGGGGGAAAGGTCATGAGCCACGAAATGCACACACCCTCCCAACCTGGAAAAGGCAAGGAAACAGCTTCTCCCCCAGAACCTCCAAAGGGAATGTGGTCCTAATAACACCTTGACTTAAGCCCAGTGAACCTTGTTTTCGGCTTCTGACCACCAAGCCAAAAGCAATAATTCACGTTATTTTAAACCACTAAGCAATTTGTTACAGCAGCAATAGGAACCTAATACATAAAGTATTCTTCTTAGTTTCTCATGACAGTAAATAGTATGTAACATCTGTTTTGCTACTCTGAAATGAAATTCATACACAATATAATTTACTAAGTCTGATAGCTAAAAAACATAAATTGCTAATTCCTGTAGTCTGAATGTTTATGCCTCCCCCAAATTCATATCATGAAATCTTCACCCCTCAAAAGGTGGTGGTCTTAGTAGGTGGGGCCTTTGGAGGGTGCTTCACTCAGGAAGGTGGGGCCCCCGTGAAAGAGACTGGTGCCTATGAAAGAGGTTACAGAGGACTCCCTAAGTGCCTCCCTTCTGCCATGTGAGGATACAACAGAGAAATCTGAGACCTGGAAAGGGGCCCTCCCCACACCGTGCTGGCACCCTGATGAAGGACTTCCAGCCTTCAGAACTGTGAGAAAAAATTTCTGTTGTTTATAAGCTACCCAATCTGTGGTATTTGGCATTGCATCCCAAATGGACTAAAACGCTAACCTAACCTAGTAAGGGAGAAACAAAATGAAAGTTAAAATACATATTCATTGTAAATTAAATATGTCAATGTGGTCACTATGCATATGCTTGGGTACAACTTTGTTCTTGATAAAGTGGGCAGATGTTTGCATCTCTAAGTAGAATCACTCTGATTGTGAGAGCTAGAAATGTAGAATGACATGGGGGCCACAAATACAACACAGGGCATTGTTGCCTGTGACATAATTTTCTGAAATGATGAGTGACTCTTGGTCAAGTTCTAGATGAAAGGAAGTACAGTTTCCCTTCAGTTAACAAGTTGCATTCTTGGAACATGCAGTGTACATTTAAACTTTAGAAAAACTTTTCTATGATTATATATGTTTTAATTGAAGTATAGTTGATGTACAATATTATATTGCTTTCAGGTTTATAATACAGTGATTCAACAATTACATACATCATGAAATGCTCATTACAATAAGTGTAGTTGCCATCTTCTATGATTACCTATAAAAGAGAGCTCTAGATTCAATAAATACAAACCAAGTTTCACATACCTGAAATGCACATCTGGATACTTGAGGCTGTATAGGATGGGCAGAGAATCTTCAACGTACAATGCTGTCTCTTGCTTCTCAGAACATCTAACGTTTCTGGCCAGGATCAGTGAGACAGGGGATGTTGGCCATAGTTATCAGGCTGTGATGGGAAGGGGACACAGGGCCATATTATGTTGCGTATCAACACAAATATTGTGTAAAAGTCTTTTGCCTATATATCCCCCTCCATTTCTCCCCCCATTGGGATCCAAACCTTTCTTGGTGGCCCTGGGCCTGCCCATAATATGCCAGTAACACTGCACAATCATTGTGACAACCGAAAGCTCCCCCCACATTTCTAAAATGCCCCCTTAGTGGTGGAACTGCCTCCATTGAGAACTGCTGATCTTCATCACCAGGAACAGCACAGCTGGAGTTTTAAAAGGATTTCTTTTTGCCCTACTGGACATGTTAAGCCAGAGAAGGAAATATTCAGAATGGACACCAGAGCTTTCTTCAATGTCATACATCAAAATATGGAAGAAGAAACAGATTCATTCTGTGCTTCCTATGAGATGAAAGTTGGGGCCAGAATGGACACAACCATGTGACAATGTGGTTTTGCGGTTCAGAACATAGACTTGAGATTCACAAACCTTCACAACCATGTTCCTGTTCAGCCCTTTTCTGCTCATAGAAGATGAATTTTTTTCCTTTGTTAGTGATTCTTCATCCAGCAATTCTCAACTAGTAATAGCCATCTGGTCTCTTTCTTCTGTGTGTCTGGATAAAGAAGGGTGGGAAGGAAGGGAGTAAAATGAGACAGCTCAACCGAAAGTTGCCCTGGTCCAGGAGATTCTGGACAAGGGGATGACAAGAATGACCACTACGGTTCCATCTACCTCCCGCTTCAGCTCAACATCCCTCCCACCTCAGGCCACACACACATGCCAAGAACATTGCTGTGGCTGCTGAGCACTCCCACACCCTAAAAAAGGTATGTGCCAAGTGTTGTAGAACATAACTAAGCAAGGAGAATGCCAGGTCCCCAGTCATGCACCTTAGGGGTAGAAGAAGGTGACATGAAAGGCCAGGAGTGGGGGCTGTTTAGAGAGAATTATCACCACAAGAGTAGACATGAGCCTCCAACTGGTTAATATAAGCTCCACTGGTTAACTTGTATCTTGGGTAGAATCTACTCCCAGATTCCATGTTACAGTCCCCAAGTCTTTAACCATAGCCCATTCATAGTATTGTCCCTAGCCTTTGAGCAAATAATCTCAGAGGCCTTGAATGATGCCATTCCCTTCAGTTAGATAATGCTGCAGTCAGGGACTATGGGCTAATAAGTGTGTAAGTGGAGATGTAAATGAAATCTAGAGTAAAGGGCTTCGAATCATTGGGACAGCTTGTGTGACTGTATTAATGCCACAGTGGCTGATTTTCCATACTCTGGAAAAGCTTGAATCATCCCTTCCAGTGGAAGAGTCAGGGGCTGAGCCACATGCCTACAGGGACCACCATCTAGTGGCAAATCAAGGGAGCTGCAAGATTTTAAATATTTTCTGAGGCCTTATTTAAGTAAAACAGCCTTTTATCACTGCATTCTACCTCCTTTGTACCTGGAGCTAAGGCTTATTTAGGCCAGGGATCAACAAGTTTATTTGGGCCTGAAAACTAAGAACGGTTTATACCTTCTTTAATGGTTAGGGGAAAAAGTCAAAAGAAGAATATCTTGTGATACAAGAAAATTGTATGAAATTTTAATTTCTGTCACCATAAATAAAATTTTATTAGAAAACAGCCATACTCATTTGTTTACATATTTTCTGTGACTGCTTTCACACTACAACAACAGAGTTGAATATCTGCAACAAGGCTATATGGCGAACAAAGCAAAAAATATTTACTATCTGGCGTTTTACAGAAAATATTTGCCAACCCCTGCTTTAGACTAATAATAGCTTAATTTCTGATAATGTTAAATAGGATAGGAGTTGCTCACTGTTTTTAAGTACATTCACTGGCTGATTCATTCATTCATTTCATAATTGGTGTGAGTGACAGGATCAAAGAAAAAGTTCTTGTGCACATCTAGCCCTCATATTCCAGAATGACCTGAGCAGGCTCCCTCCTTAATAGTCAGTCCATTATATCCTGAACACTACATCATTGACTGAACTTCAAACCCTCTCTGGTCTCTGTGTTTGATTAAAATAGTGCGCTTACTTCTATCTTTCTTTCTCTGTCTCCAAGAAATCTTTGGCTGCAAATTGCTTTCTTCCCCAAAATTTCTACAGTCACTCATTCCACATGCACTTCTCAGCACATGCAACAGGCACTATGCTCAGTGCCTAATATAAAGATAAATAAAGTGTAAGCCTGTCTTTAAAATATTGACCATTTAGAGAGAATCATGAAAGAGCCTGTAAAGATGGTGAGATAGATATAGGAGGCAAAGGGGAAAGGGTATTCAGGGCAGCATGAGGAACCAGGGAAGGCTTCAGAGAAATAACAGACAAAGTTAAGTAATGAAGGAGAGAACCAGAACTGAAGGAGGCCATTTAGGCCCAAGGACATAGCAGCATGAGCAGATATGTGGAGGTAAAGAAACAGCATGACATGTGTAGACAATTCCAACTGGTTGGGTGTTTCAGGAGCTGCAGAAACACATGTATTATACTTGTTTTCCCTTCTGGCACCTGACTATTGCCTTCTATGTCTGTGGGTAAAATTGTAATATTTTCAGAATATCTCACCTGGCTTTAGTCCTCAAGGGTGGAGAGAAGTATGGCTTTAGTTCATATGCATATCAATGGGCCTTCCTCAGGGGTAGAGAAAGGTTCATCTCTGTATCAGTGGGTAATAACCTGGGTAAGGGAGGGCTTATCTGAACCTGAGAGGTGAGGGGGAGTGCTGGTTTTGCTTCTGCTGGAGCAGGAAAAAGAAGGTCGTGGACTGCTGTTTGTAAGCAATAAAAGGGTTTTAAACTTTATTTATCCCTTTGACTGATTTTGGTTTTAGAGGTATTTTGTCCCAGGATTTCCTCTCTCCAGACTTACAATGTCCCAGTATTTCAATATACATTTGAAAGCTATTCTAACAGCAACAATAAATGTTTGAATGTTTGAAATTGTGCTTTATTTACATTTACCCTTTGAGTGTTGCGTTGTTGATGCTGGGGTTCTTGTTTGTGGAGTCAAAGAATGAATTTAGCAAACACCCAAGGTAGGAGAGCAGGGGTAGAGGCTTTTATTTAGAAATAAAGTGAGAGGAAAGAGTTCCTGACTCTGGCCAGGAGGGGACAAGAGAGCCCAGGGTGGTGCGTTGTCTAGATTTATAGGCAGTTGAGGATTTTTTGGGAAGTGAGGGCGTAGGGTGTGGACTTGTACCACCTATCCTGCCCTCAAGGTGGGCTGGGTTGTTGTCTGTTTGCTAGGGCTGTTTACAGTGAAGTCAGGGTTTATGTTGAGATACCCTGGCGGAACACTCAAACATTCCAGACCAAGTTGCTCCTGCCTTTTGGCCTTTAACTGATCTCACTGAAGATGTCTATATTCCTAGTCTAGTATCTTTACCCTAGAGAATTAGTGTGACCTTGACTTTGCATAATGCTGAACACAGAGTTTCGATAGGGACTTTACATTGTTACATTGCTTTGACTGTAAATATCTTGCCTTGCTTTTTCCGGAGGCCCTCATCCTACTCTGTCTAAGCCCATGGTCCCTGTCTCATCGTGGTATTGGGTATTATTGAGTCCTCCTAGTTAAAGAGCAGCAGCATATCCCAAGTATAAACCCAAGATACGCTTATATGTGTACAAAAGGAGATTATATAAAAACGTTAAAGATGCATTGTCTGTAAAAGCAAAATGGGAAACAAGCTCATGGTTTATTGACAGGAGAATGGATAGCTCCTGGTGTATTCATACAATGGAATGTTACAGAGCTGTGAAAGTGAATTAATTAGAGCCTCACATCTCAGCACATGTTAGTATAAAAAAATAATGGTGAGTGAAAAAAAGCAAATTTCAGGGGAATGAACAGATGTATAAAAATATTTATATAAAATTTTAAATCATACAAAGCAATACTTCATACATACACATGTAGCAGAAGTATAAAGAAATGCAAGGGATGAGAAATGCTGAATTCAGGATAGTATTTATTTCCTAAGGGAGAAGGAGTTCATTTGGAAGGAGTTCATTAGAAAGCAGGGAGAACACATTCCAGAAACAGGGAGCAGCATATACTATAAATAGAACTATGCAATGGCTTAGCACATACAGTAATCAGTAAAGGTTTGATGTTGCTGAATCATAAGGTGAAAGCAGGGTGGGGAGGTAAGAGCAAGAAGGTAATGAGATCAGGGAGGTGCCCAAAAGCTCAATAGTACTTAGGGCTCACTTTGACCAACAATGAGGAGCCAGGATTGACTTCTAGACAGAACCCTTTGGTAGTAACATGGAAAGTAGATTGGAGTGCTGAAGTCAGAGAAAGAACCATAATCTAGGCAGCTATTGCCAGGATTCTAACAAGAGATAAGGAGAACCTGAAATTGGGCAAGGCACCGTGACAGTAAAGGAGAGGATACCCAGGAGAAACTTTGGCACAGAGCACCAGGACACATGCCCACTATTGTACAACAGTGAAATGAATAAATAACACCTATATGCAACATCTTGGATGAACCTCAAAATGCTGAGTGAAATAATTCCCAGAATACTGCACAAAAATACCAATCTTAAGCATTCAAAAACAATCTAAACTTTTTTGAGCCACACATAAATGTATAAGGATATATATAATAAAGAAAATGACCACAAACCAGGGTAGTGATTTCTTTGGGAGACAGGGAATGAGATGATGAGATTAACGTGCACGTGCACGCATATGGATTTATCTTGAGAGGGAAAGAGAAAAAGGTCATTTGTGGACCAATGATGACAATGTAACCCGAGCAAGGATTTTGTTTAATCTACTCTGTGTATTAAAGGCTCTAATACAAGAAAGGAAAACGGATAAAGCAGGAGATGATGTATTTTCAGATATTTTGGAAGTAGAATCCGTAGATTTCCAGACTTTTTTTTTTTTAAGCTGGTTTTACACCCGCTTTCCGAAGGTGAGCAGCCCCGCAGGTTTTCCCGTCGCTCCAAAGCTCTGGATTGGAGGGACTGCCCGGGAATGAACGCAGCGCACCCGGCTAACGCAGAGCCAGAAAAAACGCCAGTGGAGGGGGCGGAGCCAGCAGGAAGGCGGGGCCCGAGGGGCTTTCTGAGTACTGGGTGACCCGCGCACGCGCCGTAGTGCGCTTCGCCGCCATGGTGTTCTAGCTGTCCAGTCAGCCGCGGGTGTTGGCGGCGACTTCCCTTCTGGAAGCCTGGTCTCCGCCTCCTCCTCCCACCCCGCCTGCTCAGCGGCGGAGGCGGCGGTGGCGGCAGCGGTTGTCCTTGCCTCTCCGCCACCTCCACCTCGGCCTGTCCCCTGGCCGGCAGCGTTGGCGGGGAGGGGGACAGTAGTTGTAGACGCCCGCCCCTGAGAAGGTGAGTTCCCGCCCTGGCGGCGGGGGCGGCCGCGTCTTAAGCCCCTCAGCTCCGCGGCCCGGTGAAGGCCTTGCGCCCCGAGGGTGCGACATGGCCGTCGGGTCGGGGCCTGAGTGCCTCCGCTCCTCTCACTACCTGCCGCCACGGCCCTGTGCGGAGTGTGGAGGGGAAAGTTCGCCACCGCACGCAGAGGGAGCCGAGGTGTGAGGGGGCAGAGACGGCCCGGCGGAAGTATGGATCAGGGTGTCAGGAAAGGGAAGGGGGTCTGGCGAGGAAACTCCAAGATTGAGGGGACAGACGAGGAGACAAAAGGCCCGAGACGTGGAAGGGAGTAAACCTCCGCGGGCTGGATCAACATCCTGAAAAGACGATTTCCCAGTAGGGTGGTTAGGGAGCAGCGGAGTTAGGAATGGGGAGCGCAGGAAGGAGCCGGGCGCTGAACGCTGCGGAGGCCCTGGGGGAAGCGAGGAGGGGTCAGCTGCTGAGGGATCGCTTTGGAGAGTGTTCCTTGGCTTATTGAGGATGACACCCCGTGAAGCTTCTAAGATGTACAGGCCTTTCATCATAGTGGCCTGCGTTTTAGTATGTACTTACCAGTGTCAAAGATAACACGGGGCTATACGTATATCGGTTAAATAAACATTTATTCAGTAACTACTGATCGTAGGAGAAGGAGCTGAGCTGCATTACGATTTGATTTAGTGGGAGGTGACTGGTAGTTTTAGAAGGAAAATGGGGGAGAGGTGGGGCTCAAAGTCAGGGAAGGAAGAAATTCCAAAGGGTTGGTCCCTGCGAATACGGTTGGGCCAGCTGTGTCTGCTTGCTGGCAATTAAGGGAGTGGGGTACTGTCATCCCACAGTGACTGGGAAGCAAGCTGGCCTTCCTTCCTGATGATTATATTCCGAAGGAATGGCTTTGAGGTCCTTGAGAAAGGCTTTCGTGAGTTGTAGAAGATAAACATTTCAAAGGGACAGGAAGGATTCACAATTGAAAATCCTTTATAGTAAGTACTCCTAAAATGATCACGAGCCAGTCACCAGTTTGGCTCGAACAAAGTGCACTTCTTTTGACAACCCGGAGCTCCTCCTAGCTGGAGCTCAAAGGGGAACTGGGTCATCCCAGGGATTCAGCCTTAGGCTGCTAGAGACAACGTTAAAATTTGGTCAAGTCTATGCGGAGGTTTGGAAGGTTTGTTCCTGCCGAAACTTTTTACAGTTCTCACCAACACATTTCCCCTAACACAAAAAGCTGTTTCTTGATCATCTCAACGTAACAGATGTTTGAGTTCTTAAAAATACTATATGCCTTCGAACAGCCTGCTGTTCCCAACTGTGAGATGAGGCTTGAAGGCAGTTTTGGAAATGAGTTAAGATGGTGGAGCTTGATCCTCCTGCAGAAGATCTCAGTAAAACATTTAACCAACTTCAATTTCATAATTAATTTTTAGTATTTGTTGTGTTGCCCGCCTTATGTTGCTTTTTTCTCCAGAGTGAAAGATGGCTGGAAGCCAGAATCCTCTGGAATAATTTAAGTTCCTTTTTCCTAGAAGGACACAAATAAATGTAAACCTCAAAAACATCATAAAAATAATTTTATTTTCACTCTCTTCTATGATATGTTCTATTTTTGTGTGCTATTGCATAATCTTCTACACCTTTCACTTTAGAATAATAGCAAAGTAGTAAAATATCAGAAACTTACTAAAACGTTTTTGTAAGGCACTGTATATAAATCTCACTAAAAATGGAAGTTAGAAATTGATTGCAACCAAATGATAGTCCGTTAAGTCTCTTAGTAAAGGCAACCTTTGAAAAACTAGATTTAGTGTTTTGAGTCAGCCTGGGGTAGTATCTATTTTTCTGAGATAAAAATAAAATCGGGATTTTTTTCTCCATACCAAATTTACTGCCTCTCACCAGGAAGTAAATCTGAGCAGTTTATAGGTGTTAAGACTACAATTCAGTTTGGTTCCCAGATTAGCCAGATCACAGGAGATGTGGAAACATTTCTCATAGAAAAACACCTTTTTGCCAGACTTGGCATTGTTTTTTGTGATGACTTTGAATATGCAATTGATAAAGACTAATTTAAAGATGTCAGTTCACACAATGCTAGCAATAACCTTTCTATATCACATCAAAGGGGTATAATGAAAATCCTAAAATAGGAGTTTTGACTAGTAATAGGTTCTGTTGCTAGTTTCTCCACTAGCTTCGGGACCCAGAGTAAGTCCCAAACTTTTTTCCTCATCTGTGGGGAGAGGGAATTGGATGAGACCGATTGAGTGGTTCTCAACCAGGGGTGATTTTGCATCCCTACCCCAGAGGACATTTGGCAGTGTCTAGAGACATTTTTGGTTTTCTTCACTGGACTAGGAAAGGCATGGTGAACACAGGTGCATCTATTTGGTATAAGCCAAAGATGCTGCACACATCCTAAAATGCACAGGGCGATCTTCCCACAACAAAGGATTCATCTACCCACAATGTCAGTAGTGTCGAGGTTGAGAAACTGCATAACCAAAAATTACAGTTCCCTACTGAGAAGTCTTTCCATGGCTTGGCTGTGCACTAGAACAGCAATTCATAAAACATGGAATTTTGACCTCTAATGGCTGTCAGATGACATTCAAAGAGTAATGAAATCTCTGTTAAGACTGAGACTCTTTACTGGGATTTGAAAAAATCTAATTTGTTCCCTGAAGAATTACTCATCACTTTCTTTCAAGTAAATATCCTTCATTAACTGTTAACTGCTACTTAACAAATTATAAATATTTTATATATTATGCTATTTAAAACACTAGTTAGACTCTGTATATTTCTAGTTCAGATATTTATCAAAGCCTTAAATAACTGCCAATTTAGATAATATGTAAACAAGAAGTGGGGAAAAAAAGGTTCATGTTACCTAGCCAGTACCTTTTTTTTCTTAAAAGACGTTGTTAGGAGATTCCTCCAAAAACAGCAAAGAATTGTCATGCTTACCAGTTATTAAAATTCCACTCACAATCTCAAGATCCTGATAGGACCATTATTACTGATTTGAAAAGCACCTGCAAATCTATTTTCATTTATAACTGTAATACTCTTAATGAGCTCCTCTGTAGTGGGCTTGATAATAAACAGATGTCAGGATTAAAAATTGGCAAGCAGGGAATATATAGAAGGTGTAAGATTACAAATAGGGAATTGAGAAATTCACAAAACCCAAAGAAATACCATATGGTCAGACATATTAAAATAAATATATATAGAATATTTATGATCAAGGTGTCATAAGATTTTCCAGAATAATTTGTATTTCATTCAGTGAGCTCAAATATTTTTGAGTTAAAAAATTGTTCACTAAGTAATGAGACTCCTGAAAAAACAGTAAAAAAACAAAACATACAAAAATCATAATTCTTGCCTGTTTCTTCTTTTTAAGAAAAATATAATTAAATGGGCTCGGTTTCAGAATGAAGGACATTTCTTGACTTCTTAGTGAATCATTGACCCATTTACATGCCAAATGCCCAAAAATGTTTTCTCTTTTCATATAGTAAACAGATTCAAGTCAAATGACAGAAAATCTAGGCTTTGCCCTTCTTACATTTATTCAAAAAACATCTTTTGAGTTCCTGCTACGTACAGGGTACTATGTTCAGTACTAAGGATATACAGATGAATTAGGAATAACCTGTTTAAAGAGCTCAGTACTAATGTTTATTAGTGAAGTTAGCCGGGGGAGAAAATAGTTTTAAATATGGGTTAGCCATACTCCTGAGATACAAGAGTAGTTCATTTTGTGTAAATCTGTGCATTGCCCAGACTCCAGAGCACATTATGTTGTAAATATGTTGGCAACTGGATAGAATGCTTGAGGAGGAGGGTGTCTGAAGAGATATTAATGATTATTTGTTAGTTTCAAATCTGCTGTCTTTATGAGGTATCAGTATGTGAAAGTATTAGCTAAGCATGTTAAAATGACTAATTTACAATTGTCCCTACTGTTTTCATCACATACATATTAGAACATAAGCATTGTTTTTTCCCCCCCGTTTTACAGACCCATTCACATTTACTAACCTTTTGGAAGGAATGGCATGTGTTTGATGGCATTCTGATGTAGAATGTATGCCTTGGGTCTCAGTAAATTTACCTTCACAATCATGATCCCTGAGATAGCCAGAGTTTACTTATCATTACTGATGCTCAAGACATAGTTTAATAAAGACATTACTTTTATATTAAATGTATAACTAGTACTCCCAGTTAAGGATTTTGTTAATTCCTCTATATTTTGTCATTGGAAATATGCCATAGAAAGCCCCCAGTTATCTTTGTGATTGTTTTATTAGGTGAAGTAGCTAGAGCTTGCCAAATTCATAGGTCAGGTACTAATCTCATTTCCTGAAACGGCAAATTTAATAACTGACATAACTAAGAGTAGTCATGATGCTGGCAGGTACAGGGCTGCATTTCTAGCACAAGTAAGAGGTCTAAAAACTCCTTAAATAGGGCTTGACCTTTATAAAAAGGAATTTTTTTTTTTGCTGTGGCAAAGATAACAGAATCATTTACCTAGTCTCCTAAAACTTGATGCTGTGCTCTGCTTAGTCTTTCCTAAAATTAGAGTGGTATTTAAAGATTGCAGAACTCTAGAGCAGGAGCAAAGCAAGGATGTCCATTCACACCACTTCTGTTCAGTATTGTGCTGGAAGTCCCAGCCAATAAAATCAAGCAAGAAGAAAAAATAAAAGACTGAAGGGGAATACATAACACTGACTTAATTTGTAGATAACCTGTTCACCTCCGTAGAAAACCCTAAGGAATCTAGGAAAAGGCCACCAGATTAATAAGTGAATTTAGCTAGGGCACAAAATACAAGGTCAGTATACAAAATCAATACTATTTCTAAATGATAGCAACAAGCAATTAGAAACTGAGATTTTTAAAAACTACTGTTTACTATTGCATCAAAAAACAATACTTTTAGATAGCTTTAAGATACTATT